ATTCTGACTTTAGATAGAAATCCTCATGTGTTCTTTCCACAAAGTCATTTGTAGCTATGTGGCCCTGAATTGTGCTTGCAAAGCACATACATCACACACACGGGGGAGCACACTTGAGAGCACATAAGGACTGTAGTAGAATCATCCACATATGTGAATCTTCATCCCAGCCTTATAGGGCCTAGGGCTAGTAGATTCATATATAGAGAGATTTATCATATAGCCAAATGACTATGCTGTAGAGGTGAGAATTGATTCCAAGCATAAAAATGGTGTGCATTATATAGCCCTGAATGATTTAGTCTCTCTTTGCCTCAGTTTCATCATTTATAAAATGGGTACAAGACCATTTCATTAGGAGGTCATGGCTAGGATCAAAGAACACACATGGAAAAGTGTTTTGTAAATGACAAAGGACAATGAAAATATTGATCTCTTATGTAATTTTCCGGATTAAACCAATAGACCCATATGCTATGCTCATCAGCCAGTTGAAAATGGTTTCTGTACAAGGAGAGGCACTGTTTACTCTAATAAAGAAGTCACATATGCAGAGCACCCTCAGGTGGACTCCGGATCCTCTACTCCAGTCATTTCCAAACCCTGAGACAAACGTGGTGTCTCCTACAGAGGATGAACAAACTGTTTTGCACTGCGAGGAAGGTAAGTCTGAGTTTCCTAGGTCTAGTCTTTGTTTGTATTTCCCTAACCACATGGACTGGGTCACCTTTTTTGACTTGCTTAGTCCACACCTGTCAGTGCATAATGGATGAAAAAATCAGTACTCAGCCTCAGGGGAAAATGGCACCTACAAATAAGGACAAAATGCACACTCAACCAGAGTAACCCTCTGCCAGACAAGAAGAGGGATGGATTCTACACTAAAGAAGTCAAATATCCCTCATGATTCGTGGGGACAGGTTATGCTCATATATCAGTGGCCTTTATTTTGGAGGCTATGGGAGGTACATATGTATTTCATGGGCATAAAAACGAGGTGCCCCATGTAACGTGATGGCTTTTCTTTTTTAATTTAAAAGTTCTGTCCTTTGGAAGACTGTCTTTTACATTCAGGAAAGAAGTCTTTTTCTGAGGATGTTTACACTGAGCAATGTAAAACACACAGAGTGGCTAATTAAGTGAGTATCTAGAGAATGCAGCCTTTGTCCCAGTTTAATAATACAGACTTCAAATCTATTGCTTGAATCTATCATAAGTCAAAGAGCATATGAATCTAGGTTGAGTGAGGAAAGATTAGAAACATTTGACCTCTTATAAATTTCAACGGTGTCCAAATAGGGACAAAAAGTGAATGGTGTTCAACAGAGTTCTCAGCTCTAGCAATATTGCCACCTATTTTACAGTATTTTAACCAATTTCCATATCTTCTTTTTACAACACCATTAACTGCTATACAAATAAAGTCTAGATGATAAAATAGGACATGATTTTTTTACAAATAGATACAAGTACAATGTGGAGCAGGTATGCTACATTAACTATGTACACCTTGTTTCTTTAGAGGCAGGCACCTCCCCTGAAGAGGATCATCAACTTTCTGCTCTCTGGGTGCTGCACCTGCCCTCACCACAGAGGCTTATCCTGTGCTTTCATCCCATCCTTGAAGGAGACTCATGGGAGGAAAGCCAAGCCCTTCTTCAGATCCTCTTGGAACTTTTCTGCCCTTAGTCTACACAGAGCCAAGATTGTTTGGTGTGGTTCAGCCTAGACACCAGCTTTTCATCAATTATAGCTTTTAGTAGAGTGAAATGAACACAATTCCTGCCTCTTCTTAAAATATATGTTCCCAAAATGAAGATGATCTTCTATCAGTCTTTCCCTCCACATCAGCATTTTGTCAGGGCTGGTGAGATGGCCACTTTCCCAGCAGTCCTTTGAGAGGCTGGGTAGACTTGAGCTACTGTGTGGGATTCAGCCTTTCCATACACACATGTGGTTTGCTACAAAAATATACTTTACTTCAAGTCCTCAATGATAATGAGTGCTTCAGATCTTCATGGGGATGAATTAAGAGCAACAGATAGGCTAAGCGCACTACAATTTGTACCTGAACAGTTCATTTGCACGATGCCATTCTCAGCAAACTCTACCCAGGCTACCTGGGGCTGGAGGGCAGATGCGTTTTAGTGAGTATTGTGTTCTGGCACTCCAGGAGGACAGCCCAGCTCCTCAAGCTTTGTAGTTATGAATGGGTGTCGTCAGGGTCAGCTGCCCATTGGGAGCCACTTCACTGCCATCGTCCTCCAACAATCCTGACACATCTGCATTGGGAATGCTGTCATGGTAGCTGCTGAAACTGATATTGTCTTCTTTCAGCTCGATGGTCCAAAAGGGAGCATTGAGTTTCCGGTTTTGGTACTCCCGGTACATATACACAGCTCCTACGAATCCCATTAGCAGCACTACCACAATGATGATGACTGTCAAAATGATGATGTTAAACTGGGTCCATGATACATCAGCGAGAGCTGAGGTGCTGTTTTCAGAAGAACTTACTGAAAAGATAGTCTGCAGGGTTGTGGGGGTAAATGTACTATTTATAACAGGGGTGGGCACTGATGTGGTCAAAGAGGCATTGAAAACCAAAATGGTAGAACCTTCAGGAGTTGGAACAATAACTTCTGAAAATAAAAACAGAGAATGAAATGTAAAAGACAAAATTATCTAGTTTTGAGAAACAATAAAAGAAATACACATGAGAGTGGAAGTTGATGTGGGATGTTGACATGGTACTCTGCCCAGGGTAATGCAAGCTAAAAATAATTTTTAAATAAATATAACGATAAGGTATGGGATCTAGAAAGCCCAGCTATTGCACCTCCAATGTGTATGACACCCATTTTGAAACTTTAGGAAAATTCTAACATAAGAGTTTTCCATCCCTCCTTATTGGATGATAATCTCTGATATTTCTGTAAAGGCAGTAAATGTGCCACCAACATTTCTACCATCACACAGTTAATGGTGACAATTATGTGACCAAACATATATTCAATACATGTGATGGCATTCCATGAAGGTAAATTTTCCTCAGAGGAAGACTAAAAATATATTAAAAAATTACACTTAAATGCTCAGAGATGATGTCAGCCAAAATAGAAAAGAGCTTTCCTTTAATTCCACATATAGAGTTCTTGCTTTGTGTATATTTGAACTATTGACAAGTATTTAACCAAGGAACTACATTTTAGACTTCTCAAAAGCATAGCTCAATGGGAGGATGAAAGCTTTGGTCTTGTTAGGACTGTATTACTACAAGAAAGTCAATCTCTCAGAATTTTAGATTTGTCAACTGTTAAACATGGGTAATAATGCCTGCTTCACAGAGCTTTTGGGAAGATTTAAATGAACATTATACATATTCAATAAAATGATTATAAAAATAGCTATTATTATTCATCACCACAGCACACTACATCAATTGACCTAACACAGGCAAAGCTTGTATTTCTTCATGGCTAATAAATACCATCAGTCTGTCTTCTTGGTACTCGTTGGACTGGATAAGGTATACCTTCCACATGGTGGAATGCAGAGACAACATTTCTACAATCTAATCACTAACATAGTAGAAATATGCCACAGGTCACAGACCAACTGTACCTCAGCTCAGTAATCAGTGTGCATTAGAATATCACAATGAGTAGTTTGTACAAGAACAGGAACTAACATCTCTGTCGTCTAATAATCCTTAAATATCCCTAGCTCCTCCTGCATTCCTAACTAACTTTAGTTAATCCTCACTGAATTTCTCTACAAAAAACATTCTATTGTATGAATGGCATTTTCTTTTAAAAAACCAAAGGGAATATTAATGAAATTTCATATACCACAGACAGAGACATGTCAGCTCAAAGTGTGAAGAGGCTAGGACAAACTCCAGTTTTGCAGAGGAACTTCTAAGCAGACTACAGGTCCCTACCTGAAAAGGTCTTTGATGATTACTGATGAAAACAAATGATGGGACCTTTCAATTATAACAGACAGAGAGGAGGAAACATGAACACGCTTTGTCTCACTGTCGCACCGACTTTGTCTTAGTCTTCATAGTTCTAGAGTTGATGCTATTGTTTCAGGAGATAATCAGGAAGGGAAAGAAACCTCTTTAGGGAAAAACCTATCAAAATACATTTCTAGAAACTCCTCTGGCTGAACTGGAAGGTTTACAAGGCTAATTGCAGTTGTCTAGAAACATTCACCGTTGGCATTAGATACTAAATGTGTAATCTTAGGTAGAGCTTTACCTTGCCTGATGCAGTTGTTCCGGAGGTCTCGAACATACCCTTCTAGGCAGTCCTCACACCAGAACCCAGTGGTGTTATGGAGGCAGTTGATGCATTCACCACTCTCGGGTCTGCAAATCTTTGGAGTTGTAGTTGGGTCCACATGGCCATGACAACTGCACGGTATGCAGATGCTGTCAGAATTGTAAAAGCCATTTTCACACTTATTGCAGTTCTGTCCTGTGTAACCATCTTTACACCGGACACATGTAGGCTCCAATTCACCAGATTCTAAAATAGAAAGAACATCAAAATAATTCAGTAAATTCTCAACTTACATTAAAAAATAGTAAATTATTTGCCCTCCAAAAATGTTTACAAATCTTCCCTGGTATACTCTCTCACTCACTGTTAAGAGAAACAATACTCACAACAGTTTACTAACTTTTCAGCATACTGAAGGAATGATGGGCATGTCCAGAAAGCCTATGCTTGGTTTCTTTCACCTTTCACTCTATCCATTTACTCATGGATAAGTTCACTCACTTCCACAGTTAACAAAGGAAAATGGAGTGTATATCCACTCCATTTCCCCTGTCTTATATTACAAACTGGATATGATATACAAACTGCCTGTATACCTGGGTCCACAAGCTTTTCAAATTTAACATGCATGACTGTCCTCAACACCTTAGTGATGGTCCCAACACCCATCCACTTACCTAGGTCCCAAACTTTAGAACCAACTCTTAGTCCTCCATCTCCTTCCCACTTTTGAGCAGTTAGCAGTTCATGTCAGTGATCTTTTAAAAGACTCCTATATTGGCGTGAGTCTACTCCAGTGTTGTGCTCCTGTGTAAGGCTCGCATCATTTCTTACCTCCAGCGCTCTCAATATTTCCTAAAGCTCTTTACTGTAGTACACTCCTACAGTCTCTATCATCTCCAGAGTGAATCTGAGTACATATCCTAACAGATATGAAGTAGAGAAGTTGCTTCAATTCTAATGGGCTGTCAGACTACTGAAAACGTAATAGAATTTTCTACTGAAAATGATATAATCCCTGCCTCCTTTTCCTAGCTCTTTTCATTTCTTTCCACACTTCATCACCTACTTTGTTTCAAGCTTATCAGATGGCTTAGGAGTACTCCCAGAGACTGCCTGTTTTCTTCTCTGAAATGTTGTATTATGGTTTTGTCAATACACAGCCTAATCTTGTCTCCTCACCCCTAATCACTTTTCAAATTTAAACTGTAAAAATTAACTCAGGTCTTACTTTTCAGAAGCACAAAATGTTGTACCTGATTCTTTGTTTGGGTTAGAGATACTCTGCTAAGTCATAGTTCTGGCCTGGAGCTAAGAAGGGCAGACATGCCTAAAACCCCGGATTTTCTCATCCTGAGAGCGATAGTAGTATTGGCACCACCCCATGCCCCAAGCAGTTAGGCTTCCTCAAATGCATGTGCAGATATGCTCCATATCTGACCACTGAAATATTCCTGGAAGGACTTCCTATATGACTTTATAAGGTTCCTTCCCCTGGCTCCCGTTGCCCCAGAGTATGCAAATGAAGAACCCCTAGATGTTCTTGTCACAACCAATAGCATACCACTGTATGGACCCAACTGGCCATTCCTCCTAGGGTATAACTGCCCCCTGCCCCTTCCAATAATAGCACTGTCCACTAACAGGATCCCAGGTGTCCTTTCCAGTAGAATTCATAGCTGTTCAGGAGCTCCTTTGACCTTGCCCATGCTCACCCTATTTCCCCTCTCTAGTTCAGGCTAGCACTCAATAAATTCACCATGGCATGGTAAAGCAGAGCTTGTGTCTGATACTCAGCCACAACACATAACATCAAAGGGGTAATAATTGGATTAGTGGTCTATCTCGTCCATCACACTAAACACTACTTGTGTTCCATCATTATCCTCAATCTTTTCCTAGTGTCTGGCACACACTGTCTGTTCAACAAATGCTACTTGCATAATTTCAACATACATAGTGAATTCATTACAGAAAGAATAATTTACAAGGTTAATGAAAGTGGCAGCAAGGTACCTCATCTCAGACTCTGTATGAAAAGGTAGATGGGATAATTTAAGTTAAGAAAAATTGGTTAGAAACAAGTCAAGGTAAGTCTGGACACTCACAAGAAAGAATAAGCCTCTCTGTGATTATTTGGGAGCTGGGTTACTGGTCCATCAATGAGTAAAGAATAAGAAAACGAAATACAGTCTCTGAAAGTATCAAACTGAATTAACTTAGAACTTTCTACCCCTACAGGCACATGCACATATTAATTAGATTTGTTCCAACCCAATTTTGTCCTGTTGTGATTTACTAACTTTACGTGGATAAATTTTTAAGTGTCCTCTCAGGCCTTACTTTGCAAGGGCCAGTTTACACATAACTTTTTTCATAAAGACTTTTCTGTACTTCCCAGTAGGAAAAATAAGTCCCTCCAAAGCTCACCAAACACCAGGTTTACATACCTGACTACTCTCTATCCTGAGCTATAGCTGTATCCCTTTCTACTTATTCAGCATGTACTACTGGCATTACCAATACACTGGGTATTTAATTATTAAAATATAGATATCATCTCTACCCTTGTGAAGCACATGGTGTTTAGAAAAGACATTATAAGAACAAAGACCTCAATATAAATCTGACTACACTGAACCTTATAGAAGAGAAAGAGGGAAGCATCTTTCAATGCATGGGTACAGTAGACCATTTTCTAAATATAATACCAGTAGCACAGACACTGAAAGCAACAATAAATAAATGGGACCTCCTGAAACTGAAAAGCTTCTGTAAAGCAAAGAACACAGTCAATAAGACAAAAAGGCAGCATACAAAATGGAAAAAGAGCTTCCCCAACCCCACATCAGACAGAGTACTGATCTCCAAAATATATAAAGACCTCAAGAAATTAGACATTACAATTTCAAATAATGCAATTAAAAATGGGTTACTGATCTAAACAGAGAATTCTCAATAGAAGAATCTCAAATGGCCAAAAGACACTTAAAGAAATGTTTTACATCCTTAGCCATCAGGGAAATACAAATCAAAACGACTCTGAGATACCATCTTACACCAGTCAGAATAGCTCATATCAAAAACACTGATGACAGTTTATGTTGGAGAGGATGTGGAGTAAGCGGAATGCTCCTCCATTGCTGGTGGGAATACAGCTGTGTACAACCACTTTGGAAATCAGTATGACAGCACCTCATAAAATTGGGAATCAGCCTACCTCAGGATCCAGCAATACCACTCTTGGGCATATACCCAAAGGTTGCTCAATCATACTACAGGGACATTTATTCAACTATGTTCACAGCAGCATTATTTGTAATAGCCAGAACCTGGAAACAACCTAGATGCCCCTCAACCGAAGAATAGATAAACTATGATACATTAACACAATGGTGTACTACTCAGTGGTAAAAAACAATGACATCTTGAAATATGCAGGCAAATAAAAAGAACTAGAAAAAAACCATCCTGAGTTAACCCAGACCCAGAAAGATGAGCATGGTATGGACTCACTTCATAAGTGATTACTAGCTGTAAAGCAAAGGATAAATAGCCTATAGTCCACAACTCTAAAGAAGGTAAGTAACAAGGTGAACCCTAAGAGAAACACATATAGATTCCTCTTGGAAGTGAAACTATACAAGATCTCCTGACAAAATTGGGGGCATGGGGGTGGAAGGAGGAGGGGAAAAAAGGAGGAGGTAAGAAGAACTTAAGGGAACAGAATAGTTGCGATGAAGGACAGGGATGGAGAGCAAGAAAAAAGATATTTTGATTGAGGGAGTCATTACAGAGCTAGCAAGAAATTTGGCACCAGAGAAATTCTATCCACAAGGATGACCCTGGCTAAGATCCTAAGCAATAGCAGAGAGGGTGCCCGAACTGGCCTTGCCCTGTAGCCAGACTGATGACTATCTTAAATGTCCCATAGCACCTTCATCCAGCAACTGATGGAGATGGGGCAGAGACCAGCAGTGGAGCACTGGGCTGAACTCCCGTGTCCAGCTAAGAGTGGGACAGGTAAGAGTATGAGAAAAGAGGTCAAGACCATGATGGGGACACCCACTAAAACAGCTTACCTGAGCTTATTAACGGGAGCTCACCAACTCTAGAAGGACAGGGAAGGAATCAATATAGGACCAAGCTAGGCCCGCTGAATGTGGGAGAAAGTTTCATGGCTGAGGCAGACTGTGGGGCCACGGGCAGTGGCACCATGATTTGGCCCTGCTATTTGTGCTGGCTTTTTGGAACCCAATCTCTTTGGATGGATACCTCGTTCAGCCTGGATATAGTGGGGGAGGGCCTTGGTGCCTTTCTCTTTCTAGGGAGTGGGTGGGGTGTGGGCTGGGGGGAGGTAGAAGAAATAGGGGGAAGGGAGGGAGTGGGAACTGGGATTGGTATGTAAAATAAAAAATGATAGTTTGCTTTATTTTATTTTTTTTAAAAATAAAAAAGAACAAAGAATTTCAAGTACATTACTTTCACAGGGAAGTTCTTTACACAGAGAAATTCTATATTTTTTTAAAAGATTCATTTATTTCTATTTTACATACATTGGTGTTCTGGCTGCATATGTGTCTGTGTGCAGGTGTTGGATCTCCTAGAACTAGAGATACAGACAGTTGTGAGCTGCCTTGTGGGTGCTGGGAATTGAAATTGGGTCTTCTGCAAGAGCAGAGAGTGTTCTTAACCACTGAACCATCTCTCCAGCCCCTTCTACATTTTAAATTCATCATATGAAAGATAATTCAATCAGCTACTCAATTAAATAATTAAAAAGCAACATCCTAAATAAAGCCCTTTGTTAAAATGTTATTCAAAATAAGCCAATCACTTATGTAGCCAAACGTCTTCTTTGCAAATCCTATAGAAGTCTTAAATCTTAAGTTGTCACTAACAGTATGTTACTATGTATGCTCTGGAATTCTGATATTGCTGATGCAAATTTCAATATTAACACACAATTTTCATACTCCTGACTCAAGATGATAGTCATAATATTGAAATGTTTAATATGCAAACATATATAGTGATAAACAGCAAATTATGCTATGTAAAAGCATCATCTCTTTTAGGAAAATTTAGGGGTTAAGAAATCCAGTCCCAGTGACAATGGCTCAGCCTTCTTCATGTCCTGTAAGTTCATACCCATAAATTTATTTGCTTTGTGTATTTTTCTCTCTATGACACTAAATAGTCTTTTAGAAAAAAGCGAATTTTAGACTTTTGTATTTCTTACCTATCATAATGACAAGCATGTATTAGGTACTCAATTACTATTTGTGAAATAAATGAAAGAATTTTTCAGAGCTTCCTATGAAAAGAGAAATATAGCAGTTCCTATTACTAGGTATAGAAAACTGACTTTTCAGACTCTGTCAAATGTTCCCTACCCCTGGTAATCACATGTTCATACTGGATAGGATAGGCATGAGTAAGTAATGTGGCACTGGGAACATCTCTATGGCTTTGGAAACTAAATGATAAGAATACACTGCAGCTCCCATACTGCCCTCTTTTGATCATTCACTTGTAGGGAAAACCAGCAGTCATTTTGCAAGAATATTAAGTAGCTTAATGAAGAAGTTCACATGGTGACTATCAGAATATTTTTGCCTCTAGCAAGCCATATGTGTAAGTCATACTGAAAGTAGATTATACAGTTCCAATTAAGCCTTCAGACTACTGACTGCAGCCCTGACTAATATCTTTTTTTTTTTTTTAACATTATAACCACGCCTGACTGGCTTGTTTTATTGAAGGATGTGGGGTAACAACAAGTGAAGACAGCTGGGACCCCAGGTTGGGAAGAATATCCTCCCCTCCCCGTATGCTCCCACTGCCCCCAAATAAAAAATAACCAACTATAGGGGAGCAGCCGAGACAGAGATGGGTTTGGGGAGGGCAGGGAAGGACACTCGAGGGCAGCAGTGAAGAGACCATGCGTGTGCTGAGAGGGCCCAAGGTGGCGCTGGATGAGTCTGTCTTCCTTGCAGGCATGTATAAATATAAAGATAAGCCTTTATTCCCCCCCCCTGCCCAGTGCTGCTTGCCACCGTCCCAGCTCGCCTTTCCACATTGGCGAAGGGAAGAGGGGAAAAGCAAGTTATCACCGAATTGCGATCAAACCCACATCCATCAGCTTCTGGATCTTCTGTGCTATTACAGGGTTCTTTAAGTGTTTGCTCAGAGCCTGGGGGTCCTTTTGCATCTGCTCCAGGATGAGTCTCATGGCTGGGTCACTCATAATCTGCTGCACCTCAGGGTCAGCCATGGCTCGCCGCTTCACATCCTCAGGGCTGTCATGCCTGTTGTACTGTGCCATCATACAGCGCTGGTAACCATCTGCTGCCTCCTTACAGCCGGAATCCAGGTCTAGTGCCTTCTGGTACACATCCATGGCTTTCGTATAGTCCTTCATGGCTTCCAGGGCAGCTGCTTTCCGTGTGTAACCCTTGATGAAGGTTGGCTCCAGCTGGATACATTCCTCACAGTCCTTGAGCGCTAGCTGAAACTCCAGGAGCTTGGTGTAGCAGGCAGCTCGGTTACTGTACAGTTTGGCATCTCTTGGGTTCCGTTTAATGGCTTCTGTATAGTGCTTCATGGCCTGGGGGTAGTCCCCTTTCTGGAAGCATTCGTTGCCCTTGTTCTTCTCCTCCAAAGCCAAGTCAGGGTTGATGTAGGCCAGTCGCTCTTGCTCCTTCAGGATTTTCTCTGCCTGCTGGCACTTCTTGAGCACGTCTGGGGTTCGGTGTTCTGCCAGAGATTTATTGTAGAAATGGATAGCATCCTTGTACTTTTCTTCTTTGAAATAGGAATTGCCAATTCGGGCATAAGCTTTGGCAATCTGTCGGTAGTCCTCTCGGTTCTCTCTGCCCACTTCGATGGCCTTCTCACACAGCTCCCGACACTTGTTATAGTCGCCTTTCTCAAAGTGCACAGCTGCTTGATTGGTTATGTAAGTCATATTGGTAGGGTCCAGTTCCTTGGCCCTGTCATAATGCTTCAATGCCTTGTCAAAATCTTTCTTCTTGTAGGCATCATTTCCCATCTCTTTCTCTTTCAGTGCCTGTTTTTTATTCTCTGGAAGATCTTCTTCCATTGGTTCTGGCTTGGCCTCCTTTTTGGGAGGAGGTGGGGGTGGGGGTGTTGCTGCCTCTTCCTCTTCATCCATACTGCCCAGATCAACCCCAAGAAGGACACTGAGAGTAGTCATGATCCGTGGGTCTTGTATTTTCGTGCCCAGGTCTGAAGGTTTGTTCCTTAGCTGTTCTATGAGTTCCCGGTAGGTAGGGTCATTGAGCAGCGTCCTTGTCCTGGGATCGTTCTCCAACTTTTGGTACAGATTAGGCAAGTTGAAAGGATTCATGAATTTCCTCTCTGCCAACCTGGCCTCCATGTTCTGCAAACCTTCCTTGAGCTGGAGGTTATTTGTTTCATGTTTTAAACCCTCTTCATAGGTTCGTTTGGCTTCTTCAAACCGGTTTAGGAACTCAAGGGCTGCTGCTTTTCTTGAATAACCCTTGCCCCAGTCAGGCTTCAGGTCAACAGTCTTGCAGCCATCCTCATAGGCCTTCTGGTAGTCTCCTTTCTTGGCATAGGCCGCAGAGCGATTGCTATAGAGCACATGGTTCTGTGGATCTAGTTTAATTGCCTCAGAGTAGCACTGTAAGGCATCATCGATGTTCCCAGCACTCAGGGCCTTATTGCCCTTCTCCTTTAGCTCATTCACCTGCTCCATAGCCTGGCCCGGAACCCCGTTGAATCGAATTCGTCCGCTCCGCGTTCCCAACCGCACGCGCCGCCTTCTGGAACCTACTCCCTGACTAATATCTTGACTGCAGTCTTATAAGAAATTCCAAACCAACATAAACAATGAGAGAAAATTAAACTGAATGCCCCTGAAATCAAAGAAACAATTCTTTTTGTGCTAAAAGGACATCAAGCAAGTAAAAAATTAATCCATGGAATGTACGAAAATATTTACAAGTGATTATGTTTTAAACCTTTTTTTATTCAAGTGTTTTACAATTCTAAAGAACAAACTTAGGACCTCCTACTTTCTGGGCAATAGCTCCCCCATAGAGATATGTTCTTATTTATTACAAGTCATGCATCTGGTAAGTGATTTGAATCTATAACTCTATCAGCACAAAGATAAAAATACTATAATTTTAAGATGAACAAAAAAATTCAAGAGTTATTTGCTCAAAAGAAATACAAAAGTGGTCAATGAGCATATAATTAGTCATCAGAGACATGCAAATTAAAACCACGATGCAATACTATTTAACATCCATTAGGAAGGCTATAGGTATAAAAAAAGATAGATGTTAAGTGTTGTTGAGGCTGTGAACAATTTAGAATCCTTGGATATTATTGTTACCAATGATAATGTAGGGAATAGAGAGACAGCTGAATCAGTAAAGCGCTTGCTGTGGAAGCATGAGGACCTGAGTTCAGAGCCCCAGGAACAGGGGGATTACACTGAATGGTGCTACACACATCTCTGTTGAAAAGGTAGAGACAGGTAGATTCCTGGACCTTCTTAGTTGACCAATCCAAATCAGTGCGTTTCATGTTTACTGAGAAATCTTGCCCCCCACAAAGCGGGAGGGCTAGAAGAAAAACTCAGTGGTTAAGAGCAAGCACTGTTCTTAAAGAATTAAGTTCCCAGCACCCATGTAGGGCAGCTCGCAATGCCCTATAACTCTACCATTGGGGACCTAGGAAATTGGATACCCTCTTATGGCCTCTATAACCAAAGTGCTCACATGCATATGCATGTAATAACACACAGACACACAGACACAACACACGTAATTAAAAATAAAGAAAACCTTAAAAATATAGGGTGGATGGAGACCGGAGATATTTCATATGTATCTCTGCCTTCCACACAACATGCTGTGCTCACACGAACTTATAAACATGCATGTGCCATCCCCAACAAAATGATAACATAAAATGGTGTTTAATTTTGGAAAAACATCTGGTACTCCTTCACAGAGTTAAACAGAACTGATAAATGACATAAAATTTTCACTCCTAGTTATATACCCCAAAGAAATGAAAACACTTCCACAGACAAACACTGGGGGATTCGATTCAGAGGCACAGTGCTTGGCCAGCAAATGTGAATGAATTCCTGAGCCCAATCTCCAGCAGTGAGCAAAACATCCAATAACCACTGACAGGAGGGTGTACTGACAACATTATATACACAAAAACATGAACAGAAATGTTCATAGCAGTATTGCTGTGTTAGGTAACTGTCAAATGTCCCCCAATCCAGGAGGAATAAATAAAGTGTGGCATCTGTATAATTCAACAACAGAAGTATGCATTACTGATATATATTACAATATAGGTGAACTTTGAAGATATTTTTCAAGAAAGAAGCCAGATACATGCACAGTGTTGGCTATTAGGACATCTGAGGTATCATTTCATACATGTTTTAGGCTTTGGTTGCAAATTTGTAGAAAGTGAAATGACTGTGATTTTTATATCTCATTTTCACTTACATCCTCCAGAACCTAATTCATCAGTGCACTGTAGGTCACCAAGGGAAGTGAAGACCTAGAAAAAAAAAAGTCCTTACCTATGGTGCAATTGCCCGTAGAAGTCACTGCTGAACAAGGGCACTGGCGGCATTCTTTAGTAGCATCTGGACTCTGATAAAATCCTTCTTTGCATTCTTCACAGTGATCCCCTTTGCTATTTTCCTGGCAGTTAAAACAAGCACCTAAAAGAATCAAATAATTGTTTCAGAGTTAAGAAACTTTCAGATTTAATCCTGCTTGCAACAAGAAGACCATAAAATTACATACAAAAAAAATTAACAGGAGTAGTGTTTGCTTTCTATTCTGTTATAAGAAAGAAAAAGAAAGAAAGAGATTTAGGGATGGAGACCACCCTCTTCTGACCTCTGTGAGCATCAGGTACACATGGATACATGCAGGCCCAACATTCATATACACAAAACAATAAAATAGATACACCTAACTTTAAAAGAAGATTAGTTGTTCATGAGTATGTGTGTGGGTGCCTACCCCTGTTTCTGTGCACCATTTGTGTGAAATTGCCCTCAGAGTGCAGAAGAGGGAATTGTAGCTCTTTAAACTGGAGTCACAGGTGGTTGTGAGCTGCCCAGAGAAGGTGCTGGGAACCCAACCTGGGGCCTCTAAAAAAATATTTTTATCTGTGGAGTCATCTTTCCAACCCCTTCTGATCTAGACTTGTCTGAGAATTCAATGTGTCCTATGAGGAAAAAAAGCTGGGTGTGTGCTTATAGTCACAATATGCCATTATTGGCTAATTGGCTACACACTAAAAACAGAGTAACTTTGTACAAATTATAAAAAGATAATATATGCCAATAGAAATGTAAATAAATTGTGGCACTTTCATAGATTGGAATTTGTAGTTAAGAATGAACCATCTACGTATACTGGTGCAGGAGAATTGTCTGTATTCTGTCAATCATGTTTTAAATAAATGCTGATTGGCCAGGCAGGAGGTGTAGGTGGGAAAACCAGTCAGGAAGTGGAAATGATGCAAGGAGAGCAGGAGAATTCTGAGGAGGAGGAAGTTGATTCCTCCCACTCCTGCCCAGGCCACCGAAGCAGCAGGATGTGAGCTGCCCCACTGAAAAAGGTACTGAGCCACATGGCTAACATAGATCAGAAAAATGGGTTAATCAAGATGTGAGAGTTAGCCAGTAAGAAGCCTGACCTAATGGGCCAATCAGCTTTATAACTTACAGAGATTTCAGTGTGATTTTTACTCTGGGACTAAACAGCTGGGGACCTGGGGGAGACAGAACCACAAACAAAACAGGACCTCATTTTATCAGCTTTATAAATAATAGAGATCTTTGTGTGGTTTTCTCTGGGACTAAACAGCTGGGGGGTTGGCCTAAACAGCTGGGGGGTTGGGCGGGACAGAAAACCCCCCAACAAACAGGCTCCCCCTCATGTTACATAATAGTGCCCAACGTGGATAACTGCATCCTCAGAAAGCCTGAGAAAGCTTGGGAAAGACTAGAGTAAAGCATTTCGGTTTTCAGCAGTGGAAAGGGAAAAAGCTGCGCTGTTTTAAAATGCTGGCTTTCTGGGCCGTCCTGCCAGGGAAAACTCTGACTCTTTCAAGCAGGCAGTCCAGACTATGGATACAATGTTGCAGCTTGCTTCCTGGCAAGGACCTTGAAAAGCCATAGGAGCTTTTGAGTGTTGTTTTCTCCATATTCCTTAGCAAATTAAAGACCCATGTGGTCAGAAAAGGAGAGATACACAGTAAAGAAAGATTCAAAGAGTAAGAAAACCTCTAAATGGTTTACATTGTGTTAAAAATATATACATGCTAAAGGTTAAAGTTCTCAGAGTAAAAAAAAAAAAGAAAAAAGAACGAGTAGCCTGGGAGGCAGAGACAGACGGATCTCTGGGAGTTCAGAGATAGCCTGATCTACAGAGGGAGTTCCAGGACAAAGATATGCAGAGAACCTGTCTCAAAAAGCCAAAAGTTAAAAGTAAAAATAAAAGAAATAGAGGTTAAAATAAAGCCACGTAAAGATGGGAAATACACAGGAAATCTTGATACTGTATGCTATTATGCTCTCTTTGAATTGTTTGAATGCTGAGGAAGGAGCAACAGCTGCTAAAAGATATTTGCTTATAAATTCTGCAGTATTAATCCAAAATAGGTGTTTTGAAAATACCTTGGCTTCAAAATTGAAGTCAAAAGGTATGTTACTTTGGAGAAGAGATTTTGCTTTTGTTTCCACAGAAAATGAGAGGCTCTGGATTTATTCAGAATTAAGAAAAAATCATCTTTGACCAAGGGAGACCACCTGAGCAATCTCTGGTAGGAACAGATGGCCCAGATGTCTGAGTTCTTCATGCAGAACAGATTCAATACTGCTGCCTGAGATGATCAAGACTCACAGGATACTTCACTCAGGACTTGATCATAACTCTAAATTTTCTTTAGTTTCCCATAAGATTATCAGCGCCCCCAACCAGCTGGAAGTAGTCTGGAATACTACGCCCACATTCCCAAAAAAGGACTATGGATATTTTCCTTTGTTTTCCTTTTTAAAAAAAGAGGGGGAAGTGGTGCGGGAGAATTGCCTGTATTCTGTCAATCATGTTTTAAATAAATGCTGATTGGCCAGGCAGGAGGTGTAGATGGGAAAACCAGACAGGAAGTGGAAATGATGCAAGGAGAGCAGGAGAATTCTGAGGAGGAGGAAGTTGATTCCTCCCACTCTTGCCCAGGCCACTGAAGCAGCAGAGTGTGAGCTGCCTCACTGAAAAAGGTACTGAGCCACATGGCTAACATAGATCAGAAAAATGGGTTAATCAAGATGTGAGAGTTAGCCAGTAAGAAGCCTGACTTAATGGGCTGCTCAGCTTTTATAACTTATAGAGATCTGTGTGGTTCATTTTCTCTGGGGCCTACCAGCTGTGGGGTACCAGGCGGGGACAGAAAACACAAACAAGCAATCCCGGCCTTTTCATGTTACAGTATATAAACAGGTATCTTAAAGATAGCACTGGCTGGAAAGCAAATTGAAGAATGGCACATAGATGTTTGGACACAGAGACCAAGGGAGAAACAAATCTGACACCTGTTGAATCACTCAGAGGAAAAGGACAAGCAGAGGGGACAAACGAGCTATGTTCCAAGTTCCAATGCACTAGTGTAGAGCTGACTCAGGGAGATGGAGCACAGCTGACGGAGAAGGAAAAGCAGCCACACAGAAAGAGAGCCAGGAGAATGTGGCATCCTGAAGGAAAGTGGTTCTTGAGCAGTCAAGGCAGTCAGTGAGTCAGGCTGCTGGGATCTGTTGTGTGGAACACTACCAACACACAAAAGGGTCTTGAGTTCTTAAAAATAAGTTTGCTACCTGAAGGAAAAGTTTGTAGTTAGAAAATAACTGACCCTCTTACATTTTCTTTTAAGTAAAGGAAAATGAGATAAATAAAGAAAATCTGGAAAACAAGAAAAAGAACAATAAAAGTTTCTTGAACACTCTCATTAACATTTGGAATACATTTCTTGAAATCTTTCCTTATTATAAAGATTTGGGTTTTGCCACTGAAACATTCTAATTACAAGGTACTTGTCATTTTATAGTCTGATTATTCACACTGTTGTGTAGTTATATATCATAAAAGTCCTGCAATGAAAACATTCTAGTAGATGCCATTTCTTGGCTTCTTATGATGATCAAGGCCCTGTAGATGTACAAATGTATTTAATTTTACAACAACCTACTAGGTGGCTTTGATTTTCTGGGTTCCAAAGTATATATTATCTAGGCAACATTATTAATTACCTATTGTTGTGAATTTGATATCTACTTTATTTTAGGATCATAACTACCATTCTGATGAGTATTTTCTTTCTCAACATGAACCTTTTAATGAATTTAGAATTATTTTCTCAGAAGGTTTCTGAAAATAGAATTTCTGGGTCAGATATTTTAAGACCCTTTCTATATCTATTGTCAAAATTGGCCCTGTGCCATTTTCACCAATTTATTTTTACTACAAAAACAGAACTTTCAAACCAATTTAAAACAGAAATTCCAGAAATATCGGGAAGAACAGCTGAGCAAACATACAACTTGGCCACCAGAGGGCAATCGTATCCTAGCACTGTTAAAAACTCACTTGTTAAAAAAGTTGTACATGAACTGGCTGCTCTAAGTAAGGTAGTCACTTCTTTAAAATGCATTCTTTTTTTTTTTTAAAAAAAATATGGTAAACATTTGTTTCTTTTAGAAACCAGAATCATTCAAAGGATTTATTTTACTTTATTTCCAGAGCATGTGCATGTGGGGGTGAGAGCTGCCTCACCGTTACAAAGGAAAAGAATCTTGTACATGGCTTTCTGGTACCGTAAAAGACCCGGGAGCAACTAATGGTTCAGGACAATGAAGCATTCTTCTTGTTATCTAATGTTGAACCTCACTGTTTGTGTTCATGTTTTCCCATTCCTTTGCTCATTTATCCAACCAAGATTCAGTGAGTGCTCAGTATGTGCCAATATCTGTGCTAGAGATTGCAGAAATGATGGTGACGAAGCTGCTGTTCCTGCTCTGATGGAACTTACCATGAGAGTGACGGTCATAAGTAAACATGGAAACACCACTGTGACAAGTGCTCTGAAAAATTACAAGTGCACTTGGTAACTGGTAACGTATAGCAAAGGACTTTGTGTTTTGTGAGGAGCATCAGGAAATGCTAATGAAGACAGACCTAAAGGAAGAATATGACTTAATAAGCCAACGGGGTCTGCAGTGTGGATAGAGGTGGCTTAGGAATATCACGAATCATAACTATGGAATAAAGAGAGGCTGGGATCACACATATATCAATAAACAAGAACAGTAGACAACATCGTGCACAAGTAGGCACGGCCAGATGACACAGAAAATATAACGCAATGTCTTCCAAACAGATTTCTCCATGCACACTTCACTGGATAGCAGAGGATTAGCATAAAGTATAAGTTTCTACCACAGTTTCTTCTGGGAATCCAATCAGTTTCAAATATTCTGACACTCTCTTCTCATAACCTCTTGTGTTTTTCGAACTCTTAAGTCCTGGATTTTTCTGTTGGTGTTTAAAAACTTCCTAACAAGTTCCTCTAATCAAAATGAGTTTGTGCAAACATGGCTTTCTCTGTTATAGGGTGGGTGTTGCTCAGATTGCTGATCTGTAGGTTGATTTTATACACTTTTTTTTCTATTAATCATTTAGAAAATTCCAGGCTATAACTTCCAGAGCCTCCCTTATATTTACGTTCTTCCCAGGTCTACTTGTGTGACCTACTTGTCCCCTGTCATTTCTTCTACTACATTTTATCAAAATGTGTATGTTTAGATAGTCTTTATTGTATTCCATTTGGTTCTAACTTTGTCTTCACTGGGTAAAATCTACTCTTAAATCCATGTCATAAGTTATTAACCTAAAATATCACTAATTTTAAGTTTTAGATTGCTACTTTTTAATGCACGTGTATGTGTGAGCAGGTTTACATGTAGGTAAGTATGTGTTTGTGTGCACAAGTGTAAGTCAGCAGTCAATTTCAAGTGTCATCCTCAAGAATGCTGTCCATTTCTTTTGAGAAAACTCTTTCATTGACCTGTAGTTCACCAATTAGGGTAGACTGGATGGCCTGCAAGTCCAAGGAATCCTCCTATCTCAGTTTCCCCAGCACTATGATTACAACTGCATGCCACTGGGGCTGGAGACATGGGTGGGTCAGAGTATTGGCTGCTCTTCCAGAGGACTCACATTCAATTCCGAGTCCTCACGTGGCAATGGCTCACAACTGTTTATCTCTCTAGTTACAGGGGATCAGATGTCTTCTTCTGATCTCCACATACACTGCACATATATGGTGCACAGACATACATGCAGATAAAGCACCCATATATATGGAACTACACAGCATTTTTATATGAGCTTTGGGGTTAGAACTCAGGTCCTCATGATTGCACAGCAAACACTTCACTGAACTACCTACCTCTCTAATCTTCATGATCTCCACCCCACCCCGTGAGTGTGTGCATGTTCAGTATAGTGCTGTTCTGTAGTAACATTTGATCTCTTTTTACCCATATACTAATTTTAGGTATTCTAAAGGTTCAAAGTTAACTCTTATAACACTATTACTCGTAGTACTGACTCTGTTGCTTATCACTGAACACATTTCTCCAGTTTTTTAGTCTTTGTTATTTATTATCGTATATCATACCTGATATATAAAAGAACCAGAAAGAGTCCTCTTTTCCTGTATTAGGTAAGTATGAGAAATGATAGTTCTAATTCAATCATGCATGAAAGTGGGTTGTATGTAGACTTCAATTTTTGTATCTGTCTCTACTTCTTCATTATTTCTTAGCATGATCTTTTGGATTAAGAATCTAGCAGACTTTTGTCTCCTCAGCTCTGAAAGACTTTGAGAGATTCAGCAGTGGCATTCGAGCCAATCAGACCCATTCCATGAATCTCTAGAGTTTGTTAATGGATTCAGAAAGAGCTGGCTGTATGTTTTAACAAATCCTCATCTCTCTAAAAGGATTTTGTCTCCTCAGCATAAAGAATTTTCTGGCCTTGCCATCTATTTCCCTCATAGTCACCTTGGGGAAACCAGTCTTCTGTTTAGGGCTCCTCTAGTTTCCAACTGTCCTGCAGGCTCCAAACCGCAGTCAAAAGCTCTTCTTCAAGTACACATCCTTTCCTTGGGCCAACCCTTACTCCTCACCCCACACCCAGAACCAGCAAATCTCCCCTGAAAAGAAACATGTAGCCTGACTTAATTGTAGAATATATGAGCCATAACTTTCACGATTATGCCTAAGTAACTCTATGCCCTTATATTATATAGCTCTCCTGCACACTTCAGATTAAAAAAAATAAAGTAGTATGGTAACTAGAACTTCACTACTAGAACCTGTCCAATATCACCAGGAATGTGCCTGGCATCTTTGATGTTAGTGTGAGATAAACTAGCTTCGTTCTAGGTTTAATGAGAGTCACCTTTGTCCTTGTAACACTACATAATTTTCACTTGCTGATCCAAGTTGTGAGGACTGGCCAATCTTGCTACCACCCTTGACCATTCTTATGTACATGAGCGTCCAGTAAATTGCAACCTGCAATCCTGGATCTACCCGACTCTCCCTCAGGTCTCATGGATCCTCAGTTTTTTCACACAAAATTTCCCAAGTGATCGTGGCTCGTTTGTAAGAACTCTAACACATTTTCTAAGTCTTCACTTGGTGTTGATCTCCATACTTACAGAACTTTTCAATCAATAGTATCTTTGAAAGTCATGAACTATATTTGTTGTTATAAAAGTTTGGCTTGCCATATGATTTATTATATCTATTAAAAAGAACAAAAATTATAAAAAAGAAAAAATAATATTTGAAAGAATATATAAAGACTTCAAGATCGAACGAATAAAGAGTAATTTCATATGAATTAAGGAATCTACGTACCTGTGAGAACATCACAACTATCAGACCGGTTGTTGCACTGGCAGGGCAAGCAGCCTGTCTTATTAAAGCCATAATGTCCATCTTTGCATTGGTCACACAGGGAGCCAGTGACACCCGCTCTGCACTGGCAATTCCCAGAACTGCAAATAAAATAAAAGACAATGAACAATGAACAAAAGTTCAGTGATTTTTTAAAATTGCATTTTCTAATGCTATACAGATTATCTGAACACAGCCAAGTGTGTCTACTAGATTTTACTTTCCAGAGGCATAGTAGGGATTTTTAAAGGGCTTTTGTTTGTCTGATTGGTTTTGTTTTCTGGAACCCTAATGTCACTGTGTAGCCCAGTCTGGCCTGGACCTCTCTATGTAGCTCAGGCTTGCCACAAGTCATAATCTCCTAGCCCCAGATTTCAAAACTAGAGAACTTCAAGGATATAATTCAGTGAATAGCATTAATAATAATACTTTATGACAATTCCACCCTCTATTTAAAGTACATGATAAAAGATCCATGGAGTTACCAGTGTAAAACCTTTCTTTAATGAGCAGTGGGGGTTTAGAACTTGTACCACTGCTGTATCCCATTTCAAGAGAATCCCACCGCTCTACAGGCATCTGTTCCAATTTGGAGAAAATAAGCCAGTCTTTACTTAACTTCCGTCTCACAAATGTGAAGATTAATATCTTGATAAATGAACCAGGCACAGTGGCACATGCCTTTGTTCCCAGCACTTGTGAGGCAGAGGCAGATAAGTTTCTGCCTCTGCCTCACAACCTGGTCTACGAAACTAGTTTTAGGACAGTCAGAGCTGTTACACAGAGAAATCCTTTCTCAAAACCAAAAACATTCAGAAAATTAGGAAACAACCTTCCTCAAGACTCATCAATACCACTTTTGGGTATATATCCTTGTGTGGGAGTTCCTTCTTTCTATGTTTTGTTTTCATTGGTTAATGAATAAAGAAACTGCCTTGGCCTGCTTATAAGACATAACTTAGGTAGGCAGGGAAGACAGAACTGAATGCTGGGAGAAGGAAAGAGTCAGAGAGACACCATGGAGCGAGAGACACCATGGAGCCATCGGAGTCAGACATGCAGAATCTTTGCCAGTAAGTCACTGCTACGTGGCAATACACAGATTACTAGAAATGGGTTAAATTAAGATGTAAGTAGAAAAAGACAAGATCTTTTGAGTAAATTGTGAGTGTGGGGACATTGGGAGAGGGTTGAAGTGGAAGGGAGAGACATGGAAGGGAGCAGAGAAAAATGTAGAGCTCAATAAAAATGAATAAAAAACCCAAACAAAAAAACTTGAAACAAACAAACAAAAAGATCTTGATAAGTGAACCAGTTCACACTCATTTCTAGACTAGGAATTTGATACAATTCTTTATTTTGAGCCTACAATGTATTTAAATCATAGTTCTGGTAAGTAAGATGGAGTTCACAATTAAGCTATTACGATTAGAATGAGGACATCTGATGCATTTTACACTAAATTGTTAAAATTTTATCTTTATTTATGTATTTGTGTGTCTGCGCATATGTCAGATGCCAGAAGGCGGCCTTGGATGCCCTAGAGCTAAAGTTACAGACAACTGTGAGTTGACAGACATAGGTACTAGCAACTGAACTCTAGTCCTTTGTAACAACAGCAAGTGCTCTTAAACACAAAGTCATTTCTCCAGCTCCTGCACTAAATCCTATAAAAATTCTACGTTGATCATCAACCTCTCGAACTAAAAGTAAAATACTTAAAATCTCTCTCTATTTTCTTTTCATAGATGACCATTATAACACTAATAACCCTCTCCAATTACTAAAAGATAACAGTTTTGGTTATTTTCTTTTAAACACTACAGTTTTTGTTTTTGTTTTGAGATGGAGTCTCTCTATATAATCATGGCTGTCCTGGAATTCACTATGTAGACCAGCAGGCCTCAAACACACAAAGATCCTCCTACCTCTGCCTCCTAAATGCTGGGATTAAAGGCATGTGTTACCACATCCAGTTTAATAAGTCCTGTTGAATGACTCAAAATAGAAGTCAAAGGGTAAGAACATTTATTCCTGTGACCCATGCAAAACAGCCTTCCACTACGCACTGGAGGACATCCATTGCTGTGATCCATATAAGACAGCCTTCACCATACACAGGAGGAGCAGGGCCAACAGTACACGGAGGGAACAAAAGGAAAATGTGCTTATGGTTGTCATCTACATAAATATCTAGTAGAGAGGGTCCATATCAGCATACAGGTTTGTGTTTCAGTTTTGAGGATTTAAACTCAAGGCATGATATAATATGCCAGACAAACACTCAACCCCAGTCCTCAAATGATTGTTTCATAGCAACATACCCCTCTAGATGGAATTTAGGTGGCTTCTAATGTTTGACTAAAACAAGTGCTGGGAACCAGGTTGGGCCTGTGTACATCAATGGCAAGAAGCAGGAAGGGGGTTGAACAAAGGCTCCTTGGGAAATAATGCCATGGATTTTAGGGAAAGCACAGCTAGTTGGGGCAGAAATATACACAGTATTTTGCTGGAGAGTTTGCTCAGTGGTTAAGAGCACTTACTGCTCTTGCAGAGGACCCCAGTTCAATTACCAGCACCCTCACTATGGCTCACAACCATCCATAGTTCCAGCCCCAGGGAATTTGAAAATCAGATCCAGGGGGATCTGATGACCTATTCCAGACATGTCTGGAAATAATCACTGCCTGGTATATTCTCTCCACAGTCACAGAAGCCATCAAAGTGACTGGAACACATGGCACAGAGCACAGCACTTCAGAACGGCTGCTACAACTCTGACAGCACTTAGTACTCTCACAGTGATCCCTCTGCATATGTTCAACTCCTTCTTCGCACTCCACATTCTTACAATCATTCACCTATCTCTGGTTTATCAGCCGTTTCTGCAAAATTTTCCTCAAGTAACCCTTGGCACAGTTATTTCTTCTGTAAACTTTTCTGGAATAGTTTTCTTCATTTTTACCTCTATAATTTTCACTGCTTTCAGGGTTCTTTTTCCAATGAAACTTTTCCTAGCTGGTCTGCAGAGATCTTGTGGGTCCCATATTTACATTTTAATCCCAAGTACAATTTGTTATATATTCTTTCAGCATGTTAAGCTTTTATTTTCCATTAGATTATAAAATTACAAAAAAGGCTTATCAAGTAGTTTCCTTTTGTCAGGATCTATCACAAGTATAGGGACTTGTACCAGAGTGTTTTAATGTATACCTTGCTATATGGGTATTTCAATCCAAAGGTTGTATATAATTAACCTGGTAACCTCGGAAATGCAAAAAAGTAACTGCCTGGTTTGTTGTACATATTTAATGAATAACTGATGAATGTTCAATGAATAGACAAACAAAAATTTAGAATTAGGCACTGGGAAGAGGAAAAGATTAAAAACACTAATTACCAGAGTTCTTGGGGAAAAAAAACTAAAGAATTCTCTCTGTATCCCTCTTTTTTTGCTAGGGATAATGCTTTTGTTTGGTTGTTTTTTTTTTTTTTTTGAAGATAGGCATTCAGTGGACTTAGTGGGTCATCCAGTCCAGGATGGGCCTCTCCCTCTCTTTCAGCCTGCTGAATGCTGTGACTACAGGCGTGCATGACTTTCGTTAGATGCTCATCTAGACCTCAAAGTTTAGACTTTGTCTGAGCAGATCTTGGCAACAGTCACATTGCATAGGAGACAGTTTAACTGAAGGCTACATTTAAAAATAGAGTTCTTAGAGATTTAGCTTCTAATAGTGAATCCCTAAGGAGTTGTTGATTCAGTTCAGCAGGCCAAGCTAAAACTATTAATACTTACACAGCTCTTATCCATGTCAGTTAATGCAATTCCCTACCACCCCCTACTTCTATTACTGTGATCAAAACAGAAGTTCTAAATTGGAAGATTATTAGGACTCTGGACCGAATTTTGCAGAATATAACTTTTAACCATGGATACCCTACCACAGTTTACAAATATAAAGGTTTTATATATTTAACTAAGATGTGCTTCTCAGTTTACCATGCTTCTAGTCCAACCAGTAAGTTTACCTTCTACCTCTAAGAAAACATTTTAAACAGAGTTGAACTTTGCTTCTGTGGTGGTTAGTGTTGATGGCCAGTTTCATAGGATCTGGAATCATCTAGAAGGCAAGACCTGAGGAACACCTATGAGGGATTATGCTGACTAGGTTATTTGAGGTGGGCAGACCCATCCTAAAAGAGGCTTGGGTTCTGGAATGCATAAAAAGGAGAAAGGCTGCTAAGCATGAACATTCATTATTATTCATTATTCTCTGCTTCCTGACTGGGAGTGCATTATGACCGGCAGTCACAAGCTTCTGGCATCAGAACTTTGCCACCAGTACTGACTGTAGGTAGCCTGGAGCTGAGGGCTGAAATAAGTCCTTTCGGCCATAAGTTGCTTTTGCCCAAGTATTTTTATCACAACAGGAAGAGTAACTAAGACAGCTTTCCTCTTCTTGTCATGCCTATAGGAGAATTGTCAAAAGGAGCAGAAAAGTAGAAACAAAACCCATCATTTTTGCATGGAAAGTTAGTGTACCTTTACTCAAATCTAATCTAGAAAAGAAAGAAAGAAGGAAAGAAGGCTGGTCTTGTGTTAATATTATATACTTACCACTTTGTAGTGATATTTTGTTTGTAATCTAACAAATAAAGCTCGCCTGAAGATCAGAGTGCAGAGCTAACCCACTAAGTTAGTAATAGAAGTCAGGCAGGGGTGACCACACCCTTCATCCCAGCACTTGGGAGACAGAGACAGACAGATCTCTGTGAATTAAAGTATACTCTGGGCTACATGAGATTGAATCTGTCTAGAAGAGAAACAGAGCTCACACAAAGGGGATCCAGCAGTTGGGATCACATGCCTTTACTCCCAGCACTAGGAAGGTGGAGACGAGGGACACAGCTGGGCAGAAAGAGGAAAATAAGGAGGGAAGAGACAGGAGCTCAGATGTAGTCTGAGGTTTTGTAGAGAGAGTATGCAGTCTGATGATTCGTAGGGACATGATCGTCTCTTTGGTCTGAGCACTGGTAGAGGTTAAGAACTCCCTAGTGGCTGGCTCTTATACTTCTCTGATCTTTCAGCTTTAGCCCCAATGGCGGACTCCAGGTTTTTGTTATTAAGAACATTTAGGATTTGTGCTACACCACCTTTCAAGTATTATATCTTAAATAAAAAAATACATTGAATTGCATTTCTATTCAAAGCTACCTAGTCTATTCAGCCATGTAAATTTCTGG